TAGGTAGATCGTTCAAAGCGATCGCAGTAGTACGATTTTTGTAATTCTGCGCAAAAGAGGCGGAGTTAAACTGCGCAGTGACAGTCAAATATTTTTCTCTTCAAGAGAGATTTTAATACGTGGGCAAGAGCTCGGTTTGGGTGAGCACCACTGAACGAGAGAACGTCCTTAAACGTCTTTTATTATAAACTAGAACAACACAAGCGCGCGCGAAGCGCGCGCCATTGTTCTTCCACATTATATTAAATTATTAGAACATTAAAATATTATATTGCGCACGCCAATTAATATTATTCTCTTTTTTTGAGTTTTCTATCATTTTTACTAAATTTCACTTTTAGTCACTATCACTATCATTTTCATTCATTCTACATGTATATCACGTTCCTTTTAAATAAATCTCAAAATCTGGCTTATTCAAAATTATTCTCTCTTATCCTGATAATTTTTATTTATTTAACTTTGTTTTTACTAGACACTTTTATCTTCAACTATTCTTTTGCATTAGATCCCATCCTATCGTTGTCTCACATTTTTTACAACATATCAAAAAGTCTAGCTTATTCAATATAATTCTTTCTTATCTAGATAGGTTTTATTTATTTGATTTTATTTTTAATTTAAAGGAAAAAATCAACTATGTATACACGGTGAATCTTAATGCCTGCCCCAGCCTTTTACCATGAGAAATGGATTACCGATTGCAATTTTAGTTCACCGAACGGCACAAGAGGGCAGCTGCTTAAATTTTAGGCAAGTTGAAAACTTGTTCCACTTACAGATATCACGCGGAGAAAAATAATTTGCTAGCACAGTATATCTTATGTAAATTTAAGTAAATTTTGTTTTATTTTATGATAAAGTTATTTTCTGGACAACTATGTGTTAAAAACACTAATCTTATTGAAAAATAATTGTGCAAAATATTTAGCTAAAGAAGTAAAATAATTTCTGTTTCATTAAACGTTCTGCTGTAATGGTGAATAATTTTAATAAGGTACAATAAAGCAATTTTCGTATCATCACGTTATTATCAAATATGGCAGTATTTAAGTAGCAGCAACAGTTTTGCTGCAATAGCAAAATTATTTTTTTCCGTGCATATTATTGAAAGTCTATAAGTATGAAATAATGTGTGGTGTAGAAATAATAAACTTTCTTTTTCGTGTAAGCAAACTTTATTTTTACTTTTTGTTTATTATTTCTACACCACACATTATTTCATACTTATAAACTTTCAATAATACGCACGGAAAAAAATAATTTTGCTATTGCAGCAAAACTGTTGCTGCTACTTAAATACTGCCATATTTGATAATAACGTGATGACGATACGAAAATGGCTTTATTGTACCTTATTAAAATTATTCACCATTACAGCAGAACGTTTAATGGAACAGAAATTATTTTACTTCTTTAGCTAAATATTTTGCACAATTATTTTTCAATAAGATTAGTGTTTTTAACACACAGTTGTCCATAAAACAGAAAATAACTTTATCATAAAATAAAAGACAACATTTATTTAAATTTAGACCCAGGTAGCAGACGGACGTCATTTAGACGTCAAAAATTGGTCCCTAACTGACCACTATTGACGCCACTAATTGACGTCTCCAAAATTTATTATATTTTTTATTACAATACATGTAAAATTTTTATAAATTGATAATTATCAAATAAACAAAAATATATTATACTAATATACGTATTATCAAATAAAATATAAACTTAATAGCTATAATAGGAACTTAAGTTTAATTATTGAAACAGCTTATCAATCATAATGCATATTCTACTTTCACAAATATAATTCAAAGTATTAATAAAAAAATTAATCAATGTTATGTATGATTGGAAAACATACGTAAGTATTATCATCAATATAAGGTACTACAATACATTTGTTGCCAATGAGACTAATAGGCCATACCTTTAAGTCACTTAAATCTTTGAGAACATATATGTATGTATATTAAGTAGTGATGAATCGCACGGATATAAATATAATGGGGACTGTTTAATAAAATATTTTCCAATAAGAAAGATATAGCCCTTTGTTGTTTTCACAATATTATCCACATAGCACAAATTACTGTTTGCCGGCTGATAGTCGACATTTTTTAGTCACCTTGAAGACAACTTTTTAAGTGGACATTTAGTCTACTATCTATAGGATGGTTTATTGTCGACATTTTCAGGAAGTTTAAAGTCGCCTTTCGGTAAAGCGAAAAATTAACTAAAAAATATTTTTTCGGCAAAGTGCAAAAATGTGTAAAAAGTATCTTTTTGGCCGATCTTTCTGGTCAATATGTCGAACAGATATATAGCGAATCGACGTCTCACTTTCCGCGTGTAGCGCGATAGTCGCGACATGCACGCTCCTTGCTTGTTCGTGAATTATCAGTGTCTTCCTGATAGACGACAATCGTGTTTGGACATAAGATGAGTCATATTTTTCGTGGCTATCGAATTAATACGATTTAATGTGTCGATTAATACAAGTTAATCAAGGAAACCTGTCAAATTTGTCAAAAATATAAAAGCATAATTAAATAATATAATATATATTCTGGTTTATTGTCTGTTTTTTTATTAAGACATATGCTCATTATAATTATTATTTAAGTTTAATTGGAGCATTTTCAAAGACTTGATCAATATACTCGTAATTTTATTATTTCTTAATTGTATTATACATATATTGTAAATATTATACAATTAAAATATAAAAACTTTAATCATTCAGGTTTTCAAAATGTCACTATTAAACATTTAGTAGTTAATATAAATAATGTAAAATTGATTAAAAGTTGACTTCTAATTGCCATAAAGTAGACTTCTGATCGCCATAAAGTAGACTTCTAATCATCATAAAGTTGACTTTTAATTGCCATAAAGTCGACTTCTAAGGCTGACTGACAGCCGATTATAGTCGACTATTAGTTGACTATAAGTTGACATTCAGCTTGACTTTGAAGTCGACTTTAGACTTCTGCTGCCGACTGACAGTCAACTAATTAGTCGACTTGGTGCTGTTTGGGTATGTATTTCTATTACTTCTGTATTGCCTCTCAAATTACAATAAGTGTCTGCAATACTGTAGTGATTGATGGAAAATGACAAGTTTGCGAAATTAATTCTTTTATATTGTTTGTACCATTGGTAAGAATTATAGTTTAATAAAGGCCCATTTATATGTTCCATATGAACAAAATGTTTAACTTTGACAAAATTTTTTAAGTCACACTTATTTAATTTTAATGAAGAATTGATTTCTTGTAATCGACGATGTATTTGTTGTAATGGATTATTAGAAAATTTTAGTAATTTCTTTAAATGACCGAGGTAATTCTCAAATGGAAACGCCGAATATTCATCTAAAGGGCCATAAATTTCGTCGTCATTATAACGTCATTCGAAAGACTTACATATGACGGTCATTTTTTGGTCATTTGACGTCATTCGGACGAACCTGACTAGTATTTGACGTCAAAATGACGTCCGTCTGCTACCTGGGCATAAGACATACTGTGCTAGCAAATTATTTTTCTCCGCGTGATATCTGTAAGTGGAACAAGTTTTCAACTTGCCTGCAACATTCCTGAGATTTAAGCAGCTGCCCTCTTGTACCGTTCGGTGAACTAAAATTGCAGTGGGTAATCCATTTCAAGATTCACCCTGTATATTTCTTTATACATATACATAGTTTTTAACTTGTTTATTATCTCGCTAATTACCAAGATAAACTTTTAATGCTTGCCAAGTACGAACGCATGAAAAGGCAACATAAAGTTGTCCATGATTAAAAACATCTTTGCGAAGATCTATTCCTACTTTGTCAAATATTTGTGTCTGTGACTTATTAATTGTCATCGCAAAAGCTAATTTTATCGTTTCTTCCTCCTCCTTTCTCTATCTTCCCTTTCTTCTCCTTCTTCATACACATAACATAAACTGTCAAAATAACCCTTTTAAATACAAACTGTCGAAACCGCGAGTCGAAGAGAATCGACTCGCAACAAGATCGAAATCGAGTTTCGAGAGAGCCAATCGGCATCGCGGAAAAGCGACAACAATGAACTCGCAATGCCTTTTTTAGATAGGGAACTGAAAAAAAAACAATTAAATTCGCAAGGAATCGATAATTTTTGAAAAATTGTTTTTTCTCTCAAGTAAAAAGAATTATTTCATTTAGTAACTTCAACATTTTTAAGATTTTTTTATGTAAGTATAATAATAAAACTGCAAAAGATCTATCGTTGTTTAAAAAGCTGTATCATGGTTTAAATAATGCTCTTTTCAAATAAGCTTCATCCTCACCTAGATCTAGATCTCTATGTGCCGACAAATGTAAAAATTCGAGATGATTCTATTTTTGCAGGCAGAGGTCCAAACGGAGCAAAAAGATCGATCTTCTTCGGCAAGATGCCTGCTCAATTTGAAAGTGTCAACAGTCCCATGACACGGGAATCCGCGATCGGCAATGGAATACCGTACCCTATCGACAGTGACATCGTCATTACGGGCATATCAGGTAACGGTCGCGAATAGTTCTATCATATAATAAGAACGTGAATAAATAAACGTTTTTTTCAGGCCGGCTGCCCGAGTCGTCCAATATCGAGGAGTTTAAAGAGAATCTGATGAAAGAAATGGACATGGTTACTGATGACGAGCGTCGTTGGTCATCGGGCATCTTCGGGCTGCCAAGGAGGAGCGGCAAGATTAAAGACATCAGTACATTCGATGCCTCTTTCTTCGGGGTACATTTCAAGCAGGCACACGCAATGGACCCACAACTTCGCATGTTGTTAGAAGTCACGTACGAGGCGATAGTTGACGCCGGTATCAATCCTAACACCATAAGAGGATCACGTACCGGGGTGTTTGTCGGTGTGTCTGTATCGGAAACGGAGGACTATTGCAGGAGAAACCCGGACAACGTAAACGGTTTGTATATTATGAAAAACAATGTCGAATCCTCAGTCAATTATTTTAACTTTTTCTACCTACCATGAGGCAAGATAATCACTGAATCTAAGGATTTCACCCAAGGTTTAGAAAATAACTTTCGTAGAGCAGACGCATCCTTTTGTGTGTTGACACATCTTGTTTACATTTTACTATTTAATCCATATACACGCGCGAGAGAAGAATATTTGCTAACAGTGAAAATAAACCAAGAAACTTGCAGGATACGGACTGCTCGGGACTACCAAATCGATGTTCTCCAACAGAGTCTCCTTCTGTTTCGATTTTACTGGGCCCAGCTATGCAGTGGACACGGCTTGTTCCTCGTCGATGCACACCTTACATCAGGCAGTCGCCGCAATGCGCAGCGGCGAATGCGATGCTGCGATCGTCGGTGGAACGAATATTTTATTAGGACCCGTAGGCACGCTTCAATTTCACAGACTGAATATGCTTTCCCTGGATGGCAAGTGCAAAGCGTTCGACGCATCCGGTGATGGTTACGTGAGGGCCGAGGCGATAGTGGCAATATATCTGCAAAAAGCGACGGATGCGCGCAGAATATATGCCACAGTGGTTCACACAAAAACCAACGCCGATGGCTACAAATCTCAAGGTATTACATATCCCAGTGGTGATATGCAAAATAGATTGATGCGTGAGGTTTACAGTGAGGCAGGAATTAATCCTGTAGACGTCAGTTACATAGAAGCCCATGGCACCGGTACTAAAGTAGGTGATCCAGAGGAAATCAATTCCATCGACATACTGTTCTGCAAAGGTAGAAAGACTCCTTTGCTGATCGGATCGGTCAAATCCAACATGGGGCATCCGGAACCGGCAAGTGGGTTGTGTTCGATCGCTAAAGTGCTGATCGCGATGGAAGCGGGCGTGATACCCGCGAATTTGCACTTCAACGATCCGAATACAGACATTCTTGGCTTAAACGAGGGACGTATTCGAGTGGTCGACAAGGCCACATCGTGGGACGGTGGTCTGGTGGGCCTCAACTCGTTCGGATTCGGCGGCGCAAATGCACACATCCTTCTACGCAGCAATCCAAAACCAAAATTATCACCACTATTAAGCGTCGCTGAACTCTTGCCCAAATTAGTCGCGGTATCAGGTCGAACGGAAGAAGCTGTGCATACCTTATTGGACAAAGCGAAAGAGCACCGTACAGATGAAGAGTTTCTTTCACTGTTACACGTAATACACAATAACGATATTCGCGGTCACAAGATTCGTGGTTACGAGATACTCGGCGTAGATGGTATGCGTGAAGTGCATACCCAGGTAGCAAGCTACAACGAGAGACGCCCAATTTGGTTCATATTTTCCGGCATGGGCGCGCAATGGCCAGGCATGGGTCGTCAGTTGTTCGGCATTGAAACTTTTCAACGCAGTTTGCAGCGATGCGCTGATGCATTGACGCCCCACGGCATCGACCTCATGAATATCATCATGAATGCCACGGACGAAACGTATGAGAACGTGATGGATTCCTTCATGACTATTGCGGCTATACAAGTTGCCCTAGTGGACATCTTAACGTTGATAGGCATACATCCGGATGGTGTGATTGGGCACTCCGTTGGAGAGCTCGGTTGTGCTTATGCTGACGGTGCATTTACGCTGGAACAGACCGTTTTGGCAGCTTACTGTAGAGGCAAAGCGATTGTAGATTCCAACTTGGAGCCAGGTGCCATGGCAGCAGTTGGTTTGAGCTGGGAGGAGGCCAAAAAAATGTGCCCGCCCGATATCATTCCAGCTTGTCACAACGCCGCCAACTCTGTTACTATTTCCGGTCCGATTGATTCTATGCACAAGTTCGTACAAAAACTGAAAAGCAAAGATATCTTCGCCAGGATGGTAAAAAGTTCCGGCTTCGCCTTCCACAGCAAATATATCGCTTCGGCAGGACCTAAATTACGCGCTTCACTTGAGAAGATCATACCGAGCCCGAAGCAGAGATCAGCCAGATGGATCTCTAGCTCTATACCTGAGGCTACATGGAATAGTCCGCTTGCTCAGCTTAGTTCCGCCGCGTATCACGTCAACAATTTGTTGTCTCCTGTACTCTTTCAGGAAGCGGTCGCACATATCCCGGAGAACGCGATAACGATCGAAATCGCGCCGCATTGTTTACTACAGGCAATCTTGCGCAAATCGTTACCACCAACTGTGACCAATATTAGCCTCCACAAGCGAGAACATTCAGATAATCTGGCCTATCTACTGTCTAACGTGGGCAAGCTATATATGGCCGGTGCACAACCTGACATTTCTAAATTGTATCCGTCGGTGAGTTTTCCCGTCGGTCGCGGAACACCGATGATCGGGTCTCTCGTCAGGTGGGATCACTCCATCGCGTGGGATGTGGCTAGTTTCAGACAAATATCACAACATTCGGGAGAGTGTATTGTCCAAATAAATCTGTCAAGAGAATCGGACGCGTATCTAGCGGGACACCAGATAGACGGGCGAATACTTTTTCCAGCCACTGGTTATATGCTGCTGGTATGGAAAACTTTGGCAAAATTGCGAGGCGCCGACTTTGAACAATTGCCTGTAGTGTTCGAGAACGTGCAGTTTCAGCGTGCCACCATTATGCCGAAAGAAGGAACAGTGAAATTCTCGATAACCATATTCAACGGAATGGGCGATTTTGAGATCTGCGAGGCAGGTACAACCGTCGTCAGCGGAAATATTCGCGTCTCCGAGAATATCGAGAAAGATCAGCTGAAACTAGCGCCACCGCCAACACCTGCTACCACTAAAGAGACTTTGCCGTTGAGTACCAAAGACATTTACAAAGAACTGAGGTTGCGCGGATACGAGTATCGCGATATCTTTCAAGGAATCAAATCTTGCGATAACTACGGCGTTGCCGGCGAACTTTACTGGTTTAATCAATGGGTTTCGTACATAGACAGTATGCTTCAGTTAACTATAGTTTCCACCAGCCATAAACTAATGTATTTACCGTCGCGCCTTCAGTATGCCGCAATTGATCCTATTCGTCATAAACAACTGATTGAAGAATTACCAGAGAACGGTGGATTGCCAGTGTATCACTACAAGAACATCGACATCGTTAAATCGGGTGGTATCGAACTCAGAGGATTGAAATCTTCCTTGGCGCCTCGACGACAGCGCACTCAAGCCGATCCTAAATACGAGCAGTACACTTTCGTGCCCTATGAACATTCGCATAGTCTAGTAGAGGATGCGACGAAAGGAAGGGTACACGCACTCACCGTTCTCTTGCAGATCTTGTACGAAAACGTAATGTCATTGCGATTAAAGACCGTGGAAATTGCAGGCCAACGGGCTGCAGAAGCTCTTTTGGCGCCACTTATTATCCAAATTACCAATGACGAAGTTGATTCACCTATCGTAAGTATGTTACAGAACAAATTGTTTTTTGTTTTTCGCTCAAAATGAAATAATTCCTCATTCGAATTTCTTAGTGTCGCGTTTGCAGTGTAACGATAAACTCAAAAATTACAACTTTTTTTGACAGACAACTCCAACACTGAACTCTGCATCCGGTATTCCATTGTAATAAATTATATATTCACAATATTGTCAGAAGCTATACAAATAAGTTAAAAAGAAGGAGTCTGTATCATTTGAAACAAAATATTACGTTTTATTAAATCGACAGTCATAATTCATTCGCATTTATAATTATTATTTTCCAAGACGCTTCTTCAATATTTAAATTTATTACAAAATTGTATTTTTTGTTTCAGATTGACTTAAAAATCATTGCACTCTCTGCTGATAATTACATGGCGAGTTTGAATAAAATGGATGTGAACGCTGACGTCATAACGCAAGATGTGAATAAGACACCTCTCACTCACGAAGCACACCTTGTTATAGCAGCGGACATTTTGTCTAATCAATCTTATACCGTTCTCAAAAATTTGGTAGCTGCCTTAAAACCTGGATGTTTTATTCTTCTGGAAGAAACCGCTGCTCAACTGGATATGAAAACCGCATTAAAAAATACTGATTTGACATTAGTTGGCAGACAAACCGATCCTGTAGGAAAGACTTACTTGTTATTGAAGAAACAACAAAAACGGAGAGAAGCGATAGTTATTCAAATCACCGAGAAAAA